TACGAAGTGGCAACCGGGCGGATTTGCTTGAAGCAAGCACGGAGATTTGGGGGCGGGGTGGGGCGGGGGGTCTTAGGAATTGGGGCTTTATGTTGGTGTCCCCAAACGGCGGCAAGGCGCTTGCGGCAGTCCACAAGGGCAGTATGGCTTTTTCCGTGAGGCCTCGCATGCCATTACGGGGTGAGCCCGCTGGCGCGCGCGCGCGCGGGTGTGTGTGTGTGTGTGTGTGTGTGTGTGTGTGTGTGTGTGTGTGTGTGTGTGTGTGTGTGTGTGTGTGTGTGTGTGTGTGTGTGTGTTTGTGTCTGCTTCACATTTGAGCTGCGGATGCGCTGTTGAACGTGCTGACCTCTGATTTGTGTGCTTAGCATTTTGGTTAATCAGGAGCTCAACTTGACTGCGGCAATCCTGAAGTGTGATGCTTCACATCTTGGTCCAGCAGGGCCGGAAGTACACGCAGATTTTGGTGGTCCGTTGTCTGTAGGCATAAAACGCCATAAACATCTACGAAAGTTTTCAGCTAAGACGTCGGCGGATGGGAACCCAGGTTTTTGGCGCGTCAAAACTGTGCAGTGTCCCATTGAGGCGATCACTTGGGATGATGCCACCAACCGGATGGAGCTCAAAGTTGACATGAAGGTTGACTTCGGAAATCCGGACACCACTTACAAGACAAAAAGGGACATAAACCATTCCCTGATGGGTGTGTGTGTTTTTTTTACAGGGGACACTCGAAGTTGATGTTTTCCTTTTGATCTTCCTTTCAATCGCCCCCCCCCCAGCCAAATCCGGCTGTGCCTCGCGAGCTCAGGTACATGCGCTCCGCTCTCCTTGCCTTCGATTCCGAATGCTGCGCCAAGTGGTTGGCAGCTTGGCGTCGCTATCGCTTTGGGGATGGATTTCTGGCTGTGGGTCAAAACCAACGGGATCCCGTGTTGGGGTAGGTGCACCACCCGTTTTAGAACCTATTTTAGTGGGGATTGGGATGTTGACTGGGGTACGGGATTTTCAAAGGACTCGGTCGATTTGTTTTTCTTAATTATTACTCTCCCACCAACTAACATGGAAGTGCACAGACCCCTGTAGGAAGACTACTTTCTTCTTGGAAAGGGCCTTTTTGCACTTCCATGTTAGTTGGTGGGAGGGTAAGGGGTTCCGATCACATGGGTTGTTAACCGGAGGATAGTCCCAAGCTGAAAGCTTTCTAGACGTTCGCAACGGTTCCCAAAAATATGTACCCAACATGGAATCCTGGTTAACTGGAAGCATGAACCAAAACCAGCGGTGCCGTGGTGGTTTCATTTTGACCCATACCCATATTTTTGAATTTGATATTTTTAGAGAGGGATGTTGACATATACCCCTTGCAAAAACCTCAACATTCAGCAAGGGATGACCGCATAAAGTTGGAACATCCAACGGCCACCTATTGCCCGGAATCTGTACGTGCTTTTTACCCTGGATGGTCTTGCAGGCATCTGGGAACGTGTAGGCGAACTGACCGGGTTGGACCCCTTTAGAGGGAAACCAAGACGAGCTTCAAGCAGCAAGTTAACATGGGGTTATCTCAAACTATATAGGGGCCGCCAAGCATTTCTTTATCCCCAATTTTTTCACAGCCCCAATGGCGTACCCTCGAGAAGAAAGAAGAAGCTCAGGCGATATCCCCAACAGCACCCCACCCTCCCAGAACCCTCGCAGAACCTCGTGGAACCCTAGTGGAGCCCTGGTGGAACCCTCGTGGAACCTTACCTCAGGGCCGCCCCGGACTACCCCGCAGCCTATCTGGGCTGAGACCCCAAAGCTTTCAGCTGTTCGGAAGGAAAGAGAACCCCACCTCACATGTTAAACGTCGAGGTGCCCATGTCACAAGTCTTCGGAAAAGCTTTGGCCCCTGCCACGAGAGCTCCCCAAAACGGCCTCCCGTTTGTCGGGGGCTTAGCCTGGTTTTCCCTACTTCTTTTGGAAAGAAGGAGCGCGAAGCTAGGCAGGTAGCGCAACAAACCACCCCCCTGTAAACACTTGGAACTGGAGTTGCTAGCAATGTAGTGGGTCACCCCAGGCTATTCGGGTTCGTTTCAACATAGAGGAACCCCAAGCATTCGTGATTTCCCGCAATTTTCCTTCAACCCAACCCAAAGAGGTCCCTCAACACTCACCCCATCTAAGACTCTTCCGGGAGGCTTGGACGAGCGCTTCTCCCGGAACGTACTCCACGCCATCGTGTGCCTGGTGTACGACGCTCGGCTGGCAAGTGATCTCCGGTCGTCCGCTCGTCAGGTTCAGGTGCTCCTTGGGCCGTTTTCGGTCTGGCTGTGGGGTCAAAGTGAAACCACCAGGATATGGACCGCAGGTCTTACTCCATGTTTCCATTTACCAGGGCAACCCATTTTACATACCGATTCTTGACCCACATCCATCTGAAAACCAACCGTCGAGCGGCAAGGGAGCGATCTTCGTGGCTGGCATAGCAAGCGGATGTGAGGCGTGCCCTTCGGGACATGAAGTGGCTGCCTTTCCAGAAGATTTTTCTGTCTTCCGAAAGTTTTTTTTTTGGTTCGAGCTTACATGTTTGGTGGAGAGAGGATATACGTTTGGGGAGGTAGTTTCGTCCAGCACTCCTTTAGATGGGGCTTGATTCTGGCTTCCTTTGCCGCACCCATCTTTGGCGCACTTCCAGCGGTCCTTTTCAGACCTTTGGAGAAGGACAAGTGAGCCACGATCAAAACCCGGGTGGATGAAGGTTAGTAAGGCACAATCCCAACCATAAATAGCTGCGGCCGCCTTCTTAATTCTTTACATGGTTCTGGGTCGACCATTTTAATACCGGGTTTTGATCATGACTCAAGTGTTCCTCGCGGTCTGCCCAGGATTCGCTCAACCGTTTTGCTGGCATGGGGAGTTCGGCGGACTCTGCACCCAACTCGACCAAAGCCGCACTTCACGGCTGCAGGGTCATCCTACCACAAGAGCGTCGACAGGGGATCTACCCTTCCGTGCCCTGGTGGTTTTCCTTCCTTGCCTACTCGAAGCACCTCTGGACACTGGATTCCTCTTGTGCCTGGCCACAGCAGCCGTTCCTAAAGCTGAGCACTGAAAAGTCGGCCCGGAAAAAACCCAGGCGACCGCTTCCCAATGGGGGTTGCTGGGCGTAACCCTTCGGTTGCCGATGAGGATGTTGACTAGCAGCCCCTTTGCCTCGAGATCTACGAGGGAAGCCCTTGACGGGCGCCACCATTTTCAGGGGGATAGACCAAGTCTGACTATGATCTCCACGAACTCCCAGTTGCCCAGTGTGGAAAAAGCGCCAGTCTTGCTGATCATTTGTTGGTGGTGTACCTACCGAGGCAAGAAGGGAGATTCACCAATCAAAAGGGCGGTGAGAGGCAAAACCAGCGAGCTGCGAGCCGACTGTCAGGAGATCGCTGGCATTGGAGATATTTAACAGTTGGTGACCTAGATACCCCTGCGGCCGGGCAAGCTGGTTAGTATCTATAGCTAAGCACTTGTGCTCCAGGTCTTTTTCATCGGGCTGTGGGGGCCGATGTCACTTATGTCAGGGAAAAGAAAAAGACACACCAACACAGGCCGGGCTTGCCACAGGTCCGCAGGCTGTACCGGCCTTCTGGGGTTACCTTCCAGTGCACGTGGCTTCTTTTGGAAACCACTTCGAGGCCCTGGTGACTGGGGGTAACGCCTATGGGACCAAAGGTAGTGTGCCCATAGGGCAAGGGCTTCCAATGTTTGCGGGTTCCCTGTACCGCACGAGCATTGGATCACGGGTTTGGGGTCCGAAGGGATGATATTCACCACCTTCCGAGGGTCTGTCCTTACTGGGCCTCGTTTGATTTCCGTAGCGTCATCCGGGCTCCATTTACCATGGGTTTTCGACCCGCAAAATAGCCACGGATGGGTATGGATTTGCATAGGCCCCCAATCAGTTTTGCAAGGTCGTTTGATGACGCCATTGCCTTTGGCTTGGAACCGGCTGACCGTCACCCACACCCCCCAACAACATGGGGGACCCCTTAGATGCCAGATAGATGGGAACCAGGCGGGGAACCAACCCGCAGGAAAAGGTCGAGTCTAACCACATGTGGCTTTGTTGGTCAATTCGGGAGGCCTATCCAAAAAGGGAGTGGCTTTTCCCTGTGGCTTCTGCCAACTATCAGGTTCCCCCCGGTTCTTGTTTTGGATGAGTGGTAGAAACAGACCCCTAAATAATCCAACCCACCAATTAGACGGAAACGGTTTAGCCCCTGGTGCTTGTAGAGGGTAAATCGGAAACCACCAATCCAAATTCGAGGAAACCGAAGCTACGTATTGAGCCAGTTGAGGACATCTTTGTGCCACGCGCCGTGTCTGCCTTCGAAGTGGACGAGGCCATCGGCCTTGAGGCCAGTCGGGTCGCGCGACCTCAGCGCGGGTTGCGCGAATCTTTCCCTTCACCTGGTGGAAAGGGCGTTCCTAACCAAAGCTGCCTAGGTCCCCCGGTGACTACAGAAAACAGGGTACCCTTTTAGAGGTCTGGTACTTTTTCAGAGAGGTGGCGCTCCTTTCCATCCCTTGGCTCGGGAGGTTCTTTGGCTTGAGTCGGAGTTTCTGAGTGTTTCCGTCCGGGCCTTCAGATTCAAGTCAAGTCGCCTTGGTCACTTTGTGGGCAACTGTGTCAAGGGCACGATGTTGGAAGCGCCTCCCCTCGGCCCTTCTGATTTTGCTTTCAGCGCATCAGTTTCTCATGGCGAAGTGCATTGACGGCGGTTTTCGTTTTTCTTGCCAGCTGGTGATGCAAAAGCTCCGGAAGGGGCTGTTTGTTGTTTGTTGCAATGCGTGTTCGACTGTCAGCTGCCGGCTGCCTGCAACTTGAGTTGGGCAAGGTTGATGCAACATCCCAGAAAGGCAAGCGTGAAGACAACCCTCTCTTCTGTGATGCAAGTGATGCAAGTGATGCTGTTGATGCCAGTGTACATGCTTCTGATGTGTTGGGATGTTGAGCCCTATCTGTGAATCCTTGCGATGCCTGTGCATGCTCTCTAATGAGTTTAATCTACTCACTTGTTGGGCTAGTCTCGACAAGTTTCCGAGAAATGTAGGTGCAGATTTGGCAGTGGCCTTTCGCCATTTTCCACCTACGGTCAGATTCGGACCGCAACGCACATGTCACTCATGGAAGGATTCATCAACCTGCGCTTGTTTGATGTTTGCTTTGTAAGGGGGGCTGTCCCCTTTTAGAGGGATCCTGCACTTTTGGAGGAATCAGGTGGATGTCATCCAATACGTCGATTCCCATCTTCGAGAGCAACGGCGCAAAGGCGGAGAGACGACTCACCTCCCTTGACTCATCCGTGCTTTGGAGCTGAGGTCGGAGAAACCCCTTGCGAAGGCAACGCGTCAAAGCCAACGGCGGAACAAAGCGAATCCTGATCCCATCTTCGAGGTGGTTCTTAAAGCGAAAAAGTCAAGAACCTGCTGGTGCGAGAGATGCAGGGAATGAGAAATGGCTCATGACCCCAATCAAAACACCCCCAACTGGTGGTTTCCTTTCTTCGGGCACCCCATTCTTACATTCCCTACAAGACCGATATCCCAGTTGTTTTTTTTAGCGGATGATTGAATAAAGGACACACTCATTGCATTCCTTTCCTTTTTTTGGGGGGAATCCCTTTCGGGTTCATTCAACCACTTTCCCCACCTATCGCACCTGCGCCGCGGTTTTCTCCTCAGATTCCTCGCGCAAGGCCGCGGAGGACTCCGGCTCCTTGCTGCGGAGGCCCTCCCGAGCTCCTTGGAAGAAAGCCGCTCCGGAAGCCATCGGCCCGTCTGAGAGGTGATGTGTCGGTTTCGTTTTGGAGGCTCCGGCGTGGGCGGGTTTTTGCGGGGTTTCGGAAGCCCCTAACTTGGCTGAGTGCCTTTTTTTGTTGGTGTTTTTTCCCTTAGCCCCGTCAAAAAGGGGCGACCGAACACAGACACCGCCGCAAGAAGCTCGACTATGATCCGCAGCGCCGAAGCCGCGGCTTCGTGGAGCGGATCCCCAAAAAACGTCCCCAGGGGCGAAACGCGTCGCTCTCATTGCCATCCCCTTGCGAATCACCCGAGTTTTGCATGTACCCTACCGCCAACTAACGTGCAAGTGCACATAGTCACATAGCCCCTTCCCAAGAGTAAAGTCGTCTTTCTACGGGGGTTTGCGCACCTCCAGTTTGTCGCTGGGAGCGTATCCTCTTTGGGGAGAGTTGTAAGTCATCGCCCCATTCCGACTTGGTTCGACGATGGCGGAACCACTGTGTGCTTTGCCCCTGAGTTGTGCATGCCTGAGCCAGCCCTATCTTCGCAGTAAACGGGGATGCCACTGGGTTTGTTTGGGCAGATGTGTTTGGGGCATCTGCCTTGGGATTCTTGGCCAGCTTCACTTTCAGTTGGGTAGGGCCAAAATCTGGGCTTTCTGGGTATCCATTTGCAATGATTCCCCACTAGGATTCTGGAAAATCGGAGGCCAACCCATTTGCGAACAGCTCCGGTTGCTGATTGTACGGTAAGGTTTACCCCACATATCCGCAGGTGGCTTGGGAGGATCGGTATGGCACCCCTTGTTCTTAGGTGGCGTAATTGATCCATCCACCCAAACCACTGACCTGCATTCTCGATTTCTGGATGGGACGCATCCGTTTGCCAGGCTTCCAAATTTGGGAGGGTCTGGCTACAGGTGTGTTAAAAGTGGTTTGCCATGTGCTGCAGGCTTCAGCATACTGTTTTGGCTGTGGTAATGCTGGTGATGCTCGTAATGCGGACAAGATGCCGTGCAGAAAGAATCAGTGTAGCTATTTCAACCCATGTCCTTGGAACATGTGAGTGATTCTTGGAAAGACGGGTCTACTTCCTGTTTGGGAGTATCGATGGAACTCCAAACGGGGAGTAATGTTGACCCCATATTCATCAACCCCTGTTTATTACTACGGGGGTTCCCTTCCAAAAGCGATGGCTCCCTTCCAAAAGCTTACCTATGTCAAGGCACTCGCTTGTTCACTCGCGATCTTGGGAAGACTATCTTAGTGCACAATTAGAAGATTTGGCTCCTCTTTTTCGCCAATCCCACGGAAAGGCTCTGATCAGCTTGAGGTCACCGGGGGGGTCTGGGGGTCACCCACCGGTCTGGGGGTCGGGGGGTCCCAGGGTTGTTGTTGGGACACATTTTACATTTTTGCTTATTGTGGTTGAGTGGTTGAAATCCAAATCCACTGAATTGCTAGCATTTTTCAAATTTTTCCTCCCCCCCCCCCCTTGGGCCCAAGAGGGCTCTCATGGGTCACCGGTTTGGGGTCTCCCTCGTTCCAACGGTCAACCAATCCAAATCCACTTCACTGCTACATTTTTTCAATTTTTTAGTGGGAAATCCCACCACTTCACTGCTCAGATGTTTGCTTTTTCCCCTTCCAACAGTCAACCTGGGAAGTCCGGTCTGATGGCCCAGGAGATTTTGGGTGTGGAGACCCCTGAGAACTTCTC